ATAATATCTTGTTAATACACTAATTAATTAGATTTCAATTAGAAATAAATTTGTCATTAATAATCAAATATATATCATTTTATTGAAAAATTATTAATAAATTATATAAGACAAGATTCTTGGTAATATATTGCAAGTTGTTAGTATCTTAGCTAATTAGGCAAGCTTGTCAATCATTGTAATTACATTCTTTATCTTAAACAACATTTTAAAATCTCATGTTAAACTATAATAGGTCAATAGTAGAGGTTGGAACCGGCCAAAAATTCTTTAACCGGTTAATAACCGGTTAAAATATTTGTTAACCGTTTAATTAACCGGTTAAAATTAACTTTGGCCAGTACTATAAATTTGGCTAGAGTTAGACAATATTTTGTCAATCATAAAAATCTTAATTCTGGCCGGAAATTAAATTTCGGTCGGATTTAAATTCATCTATTTTAACCGGTTAAAAAATCTTTAAACATTTTAACCAGTTAATTAACCGGTTCCAACCTCTAGTCAATAGTAAAATACCATCATCGATAGGAGGAGCCAATGAAACATATTCAATTGCTCATATTGGTGGGTCATAAAATACATCGGCTATCAGGATGTTGATTTGAAATGCAGGAAGATTTGGAGCATCACACCCGGTGGGGTTATCGTCACCTTTTGCTTTAGTTCCAAATTCCCACTAAAAATTTAAGAAAAACATACTTTAATCATCACAGATAAATAGCAATACATAGAAAATCTTAATAGATTAACTTTACTTCTTGAAATTGCACTCCCTGTCTCCATTATACTGTTTAAATATCAAAAAATTTTAAAATTTCAATAAAAGAAACTATAAAATGATAAACCAAATAATATAGAAACATACCGTCATTGCTCGATCAAAATGCCCTTGTGTATTTCGCGTTACTTGCTTTTAATTCCTAGTACATACAGATCTAACACAGCGTTGCCTTTGGCCGTTTGATCGAGGTTTGGGTATTGGCTTTTTGCCGGCCAAAATGGTTAAAAAATTCTTGGCCGCGGCCAAAATCTCAATATAATTTATTAAAATCTAGTTATTGGCCAAAATTTTGCTGTTTGGCCATTTTAGCCATTGGCCACAGCCAAATGCCAACTCTGTTCTAACATATTGTTCTTTCAACCAGAGATGACACTTGTTCGTCAGATCACGGAAACTTTGACCCATCGCAATCTCACAAATAATTCTTGCGTGATGATTTCCCTACATGAACCATATAAATATCAGAAAACTGCAATATAAAACAGAAAAATAAAATACACCAAAAACAAATACGTCATAGTCTGTTGGGTCCAGGAATTGAAAGTATTGGAACTTAAATTGCACTGTAACGCAGTGTTGGCCATTTGCCGTTTGGTCGAGGTTTGGGCATTGGCTATTTTGTCAATTTGGCTGGCCCAAATGGCTAAAAAATTCTTGGCCGCGGCCAAATGCCAATCGTATTCTATTAAGTATTAATACATTTATTAATATCTAGTTATTTGGCCAAATTTGCTGTTTTGGCTATTTTAGACATTGGCCACGGCAAAATGCCAACACTGATCTAACATATTGTTCTTTCAACCAGAGATGACACTTGTTCGTCAGATCACGGAACTTTGACCCATCGCAATCTCACAAATAATTCTTGCGTGATGATTTCCCTACA